AATATGTTGGAACATTTTTTTGTATGGAGAAAATGAGCAACACTTTCCAAAGAAAAAATGCTAAAAATCAACGGTGAGTCCAAGGTACTTAAAATTTGCACTTTATTATATTAAAATTGAATGGGCTGCTAAAACTGCATACTCAGATTGGTTCTAAGAAACTTAATTTAAAATCTCTATATTTTATTGAAACTTTGACGAATTTAGCTAATTTTTGTACAAAGTTTAAAATTTAATTACTGAACCTGTATCTGGATGCGAAGCTAAAACTTATAAGTAGTATTAATTTGAGTAATATTTATATTTAACACCGGCCACCGGTGATAAAAGATTATACATATGTTTACGGACGATGACAGAAATATCAGTTTACTTACTCTTGTGTTAAAAGGCTTCTATAACTGTTAGGGTATAAACGTTTGACACAGAAGCGATGTATGTATGTACGTTGCAGTAATACAGTTGACACGTGACCGCAATCGACGATCGTTGGAGAAAACTGACTTGGTCAGCACACGTTTCGGTCATAAGTTGTAAAATTTTTGTCTACCAACCCTTGGTGATTTTACAGTTGGCTCGAGATGCCTGGAACAGAGGTGCTCAACAAATTTAAGTTACTGAGCCAAAGGACAACAACGTCAATATCAATGACAACAACATCGTTCTGGGAATTTCAAAAAAATTTTCCACCCCAAACTAACAAATTAATGGGACAAGTATACAGCTGAGCAAATGCAAGCCAACTCGAGGCAGCAGTGAATGAATGTCGATCGATTTTTGTCCCGTTAGTTTTGCCTGATTCAACGCTTATTTCATTTGTTTTGCTGTGTGTGTTGTAACTGAGCCATAGTGATGTTGTTGTAAGCCAACTGAATCTCGATCGATTTTTGTCGGTTGTGCTTCCACGAATTCTGTGTTTGTTGTAAGTGAGCCAAAGTGAGCCACAGTGATGTTGTTGTGAGCCAACTGAGCCAATTAATCTACTACGCCGTCTGATAATTTTCTTTTTTTTTTTTAAACATTGTAAATTTTTTTGATGGAAAGTTTGTTTTGAATACTATTTAGAGATTAGGCTGATTTACAAGCACGGAAAAAGTAAAAAGAATCGGCTAAGAATGCCGATCAATCGGTCGGCTCTACCATGTATGTATATAGAGACTTTCAATATTTTATCTTTAGAAATTTATTGGGGCATATTCATAGTCGAAATAAAATCGACTCTAAGTTATAGCGAAGAGTAGACTTTATTTGATCTATGAGTATGCCCTATTATTTTTAATACATTTTTTAATAACCTATTAATGAGGGATATATTAAACATACGCAATATGTATATTTTGCATTTATTATGAAAACAAATTTGCAGTTAAAAAAAAGTACTTACATCAACATAACAGTTACCGTTCAGTTACAAAAGAGCAACATTAGTAGATAAATCTTATTATAACAATGTTTAGCCCTTTAAGTTTGTATACAAACTATCGCAAATTATTTGGTTGTACCGGGAGCCATGAAAATAAATTTGACACAAATAATTTGGGGGAAATGCTAAGCTATAAAAGCAGTGCATTAATTCATGCTATCATCAGTCATGTCCAACGCTGGCAGAATTCCATAAGCAAGTGCCCTGCGCTGGGCATGCCTGATGTATATTTATCAAAGCTCGCAAATAACTGCCTGCACATTTTTCCAATGCTGCCTGCTCACCAGGCATGACAACTCTATCATTTTTTAAAAAATTCGTATCCTTTCTCACAGTTTTGTGCCCCTAGAAAGGAAGGCTTAAAAAAGTGGATGATTTCAAAGAGTTCAACTTATAAATTGCACGAAATTAAATAATATTTCACTTGTTTCGTGATTTGCGATTTATCAACATCTTATGAAATATACTCTGGAGTCTGAGCACGGGCCCCCTTGAGAACTCCGGGCCCGGGGCAAAATGTCCCCGATGCCCCCCCCTCTCGTCGGGCCTGGTGGCAACCATGCGTGTAAGTACTAATTTTTTAAATGTGCGTAGTCTAAACGACGAAGGATGAACTTTGTGTATGTTTTACGTTTATGTTTTCAAAGTAATTTTCTTAATTTTTTTTTATTTGTTTGTATATTTTACTTGTGCAGTTATAGTACACGATGAATGCAACCAAAAGTTATACCGACGAAGACAAAAAAAAATTGCGCAATTTGTCCCCCTTCTAAGGGCCGTTTTCTAATGTAAGGAAATTTTCTTAAGGAAATTGCTACGCTTTCTACAACGGTTTTCTAAGTTTTTTGTGAAAAAAGAGCACAAGGCAACCCAGGTTTGCAACAGAAATATATGCCCGTTCCATTATTTCTTGAGGAAAGAGTGAGGCAACAGGCTGTGAAGTATCAAAAATGTCAAAATTCCTTGGACACACACGCGAAATAATGGCAATTTTTTCTTGACCGTTTTCTTGAGAGCTGCATACGGGGCTGTAAGCAGTAAAGTTGCCTTTACTAACAGGGCAGATAAATTGTTCCTCACTTTAAAGTGTTTTCGTTTTCTTACCTTGCCGGTAAAAATTAATTTGTTATTCCGTATAGTGAAACTTCACTACATTTCCGGGAGTGGAACTTCACTACATTCGTCATAAAATTTCAAAGGTTGGCAATGCAACATAAGCAAATATAGAGCAAGAGCATCTGTTAGCAAAAACCAAAACCTTGGTTGAAATATCTAATATATCTGCCTCATGAACCAAAACCAAACCAAAATTTAAAGTTGGGTACAAATTTTAAAGGTTGCATCGGGTGAGCAACAGTTTATCGATTCGAGAAATTAAAGCTCTGATGAGAAAACGAAAACTCGTATATAGAGACGATAAAGTGGCCGGTAAACTATAGGTTAGATGAGAAAACGGCCCTAAGTGACGCATAGCAAATCATCCTGTGCAAAATGCCAAAAGTCTCTGTGGAGAGCATAAAATAGAGCTTTGTGCATCTTGCACAAAATGAGAACTGTCGTATCTGAAAATGGTTTCCTTTTTTAGTTCATAGTATTATTTTTAAGAAAAAGACACTTTAAATGAATTATATATACTTTAAGTTATTTATTTTTTATATTTTCTAATTAATGTTTTGTACAAAAAGCCAAATGAATCAGAGCTGTGAAATCTTGAATTACAATCAAAGGACTAAAGAAAAACTACTTGATATTGTTTCATATTAAAAAAATATAAACAAAATAAAATAATGATTTTTGTGCATTTTGATACACTGGTCAATTAAATAACGCCTTTTAGAAATGCCGTCGTCGAATCGACGAAGGATGACCTTTGCGTTATAAAAATAATGATGACCTTCCAGGGTTAAGAAAAACTTCGGCGAAGAAAGACGCCAAACTTAGTTGACGGCGAAGAAAGACGCGTAATCATAGATTTATACGTGGCGAAGGACTGTCACTTCAGCACTATTCCCCAAAAACTATTAACGGAATGTACATACTATTACACCCGCAAACATAGTTGACCGCGAAAATAAGTTTACGCGTCCTTCTTCGCCGTCATATATTTTAACTCGTCTTTCTTCGCCGTCAACTATGTTAAGAGTCTTTCTTGGCTGAAGTTTTTTTATGCGCCTTTTTTCGCGGTCAACTTTTGAGCTCGCGCCTTTATTCGTGTCTAGTGACGATATGTATATATTTCATGGAAATCATAATTTACTTTAATTTCTGCAGTGGAAAACTCGGGCATTCGTTTTGAAATTCGAGAAATAAAATCGTTCATAAGGATTTCTAAATCTAACTTCTGACGTTTTCGTTTCTACAAAAAATGTTGTTTTTTCATTGCCCTTTTCTTAGTATTTGTGCGTATAGGGAAAAGAGAAGGTAACCGCAAATAATTTTTCACCCACTTATTCAGACACAAGACCCACACACAGTTCGTTTTCTCGCAAAAATTGCACAACATCTTTCACAGATCCTGGATTTTACTCTTTGCGCCTCAATATGCCATATCTTTAGTGAGTCTGCATTAGTAAAAATCACCATTAATTAACGTGATGATTTTCTTCAAATCTACTGTCTCGCCAAGAAAGATCTTTTCTAAAGTTTTATAAAACGTTGCCGATTTAATATCAAATCTACTGGTCAGGGAGCAAATAACTTGGCCAAAAATTTCATAATATATCTTCCGAAAATACTCTTCAGGATTTTCAATTGGACTTATTTTTCTTCCAAAAAATTTTCAGGTGGGTAGTACTACCCACCATGCCCACGTCTTCCGCCGCCCCTGGCGGTGGAATACCCACATTGTAACATTGCACGATTTTGTCCGTTTCTAAAGCTTAGTATCCGGCTCTCAAGAAAAGTAAAAACTCCATATAAAATGACACACAAGAAATGGCTAAGAAATTTTCTTGTGTCAAATTTCTTTAAAGCAGTACGCAGCTCTTAAGAAATTTGCTACGCTTTCTACTACGGCTTTCTAAAGCTTTTTGTAAAAAAAGCCCACGGCAACCCATGTTTGCAACAGAAATATATGCCCGTTACGTTATTTCTTGAGGAAAGAGTGAGGCAACAGGCTGTGAAATATCAGATGTCAAAATTCCTTGCACACACATGAAATACTGGCTCATTTTTTCTTGACCGTTTACTTAAGAGCTGGATACTAAGCTTAAGACGTAATTGTTGGGTTCAACAGTTGCCAGCAGTTTCGTAGCAGTTGAGCTAAACAGCTATGTACATACATATGTACGTCCTATAAATGTGCCCAATTTAATACTTTCAGCTCAAAACCTTTCAGCCTACCGTAGTATATATGTATATGAATATGTCTAAGAACACAAATGTAGATATATACATTTGTTTCCATTCACATACATCTGACTTATACACACTATTTATTAGCCCATAGCTTATCTTTCTCCGATTTCCCCTTTTTGATTTACTGCATATCCAACTTCTCTACCAATGAGTTAGTACGTACATATATATGTATTTATTAAACAAACCAATACTCTTACATATGTACATATCTATGAATGTATGTATATATGTACCAGTGATGGAAAAGTAGGTACAATTGTACTTTTTTCGGCTCTTTTTCAACATGAAAGTACATTCGGTACATTGGTTCCATTTTAAGTACATTTTAAGTTTGGCCAAATTATTTGTCAAGGAAATTTGTATGCCGATTTTTTTTTGCCAAGTGGATTTTGGTTAAACATATTAAAACATAGAACTTTTTGATAGTGTGCCATTGGGAATGAAAGATTTAATAGCATGTCATTGTGAACGAGATATGTGAAACGAAGAAGTAACTAGCTTTTATGTGCGCGCAATTTGAATGAATAATTAATGAAAGCCGACAAATTAGAGAAACTGCAATGGATAAGTAAGTTTCAAACCGTTTTTTTAATACAAACTATTTCATTTTTGACGAAGTTTATACTATTTTCAGTTGGATTGTTCGCAAGAAACGTGAAAATGCAGCTGCAGGCAATGATGAGAAGTAAGTGTGACAAAGTTCAACTAGCGCAAAAAAATTTACCAATAGCATTTTTCTCATATTTAAGCAATAACGAAGAAAGCAACGTAGTTTCCGTGGCGAAAAAGTAAAAGTATGAGATCAAATTTAAGAGGGAGTGGGCATCCAAGTACAATTGGCTCCAAGAAGACTCTACCGCAAAGCAAGGTAAGAGGTGCATGATATGCGGTGTTCCAATTTACGGCAATATGTTTCACATCGATCGGCATTCAAATTCAGACCTCCATNAAGCAACCTTAAAAATTTCGAGTTTTACTAAGCCGAATAGCGAGGAAATGGAATTAAGTCGCTCAGCAAAGGCAATGGAGATTCGTTTGTGTATGTTCGTTGCTGAGCACAATTTGCCATTTACTGCTTTGGACCATTTGGCAAAATGTATTAAAACGGTAAAAGATTCACGCATAATTTCAAACCTGAGCATAAATAGACATAAGGGTCAAAATATTATAAAGTCAGTCACTGGTCCTGAAAACTGCAGACAAATTTCTGAAATAACAAAACAACCATATTACTCCGTGATCATTGATGAAAGCACTGACATTTCTATGGACAAAAACTTAGCAGTTATTATTAGAGTTTTTACGAACAAATGTAGAGATAGATTTTTGGACTTTGTTCAAGTGTCTGATTCTTCTTCCGCCGGAATGTTCAATGCCCTTTTAAAAGTTTTGAATGATCATGATATTCCGTTGAGCAATCTATTGGGATTTACGGCAGATAACTGCGGTGTCATGATGGGCAAACGAAATGGCGTCCAAGCAAAATTAAAAGAAATTTGCCCTAAAATCTTTGTTATTGGCGATGTATGCCACAACCTTAATCTATCGTCCGAGGCAGCTGCATCAGTTCTTCCACAAGAAATAGAAAAGTTAATTCGCTCTATAAATCACCACTTCTGTCATAGCGCTAGTAGAAAAATAGAGTTTGAAAATTTTCAAGAAGATTTTGGAAGTGCGGTTCATAAGATTTTGCGATTTAGTTCAACACGATGGCTTTCGCGGCAGGTAAATTTTCTTTTTAATAATAGTTGTTCAATACATTTTTTTATTTGAAGTATTACATTATGATTTCAGATTGTAGTTGAACGGATATTGGAGAAGTGGAGTACTTTACAATATTTATGCAATTTCGAAGCAGGATTTGGCAATGAAAGTAATAAGTTTATTGCAAGTACCCTTTCAGATTCTAATATAAAACTGTACTTCTATTTCTTGTCGTACGTTCTTAAAGTTATAAACACTGTTAACATAGAAATGCAAGCGGAAGAGTCACACATTCATGTTTTATATCCCCGCTTGACATTTCTTTTTAATCAAATATGCCGCAATTTTATAGCGAAAGAAAATATTTGTACCAATTCAATATATTCATTGAATTTAGCCAACCACATACCTATTGAAAACATTTTTTGTGGAACGGAAACTGAGCTGTTTTACACTGACCAAAACCTAACAGCATCGGAAATTTTTCAATTTAAAAATAACATTTTGAAATTTTATATTAAATTTTGCGATGATTTAAGAAAAAGAATAGATTTTAATAATGAAATTTTAAAACTCTTACCGTCAATTGCGCCGAAGGAAGTACTATCTGGTAATATTAATAGCATTTTACCACTGATTTTAAAATTGTTTCCCGAAACTGAATTAAAAAAAAGCTGAACAAATTAACACCGAGTATCGAGCATTAGCCGATTATGCAGAAATTAAAAAATCGAAAACCTTCCTGTATCTGAATTTTGGACTGAAGTCGGCAGAATAAAAAATGAACTAAATCAGCCAGTATTTTCAAATATATTTCGCGTTGTTCAGGGTTTGCTTGCTTTACCACACTCCTCTGCTTGTATTGAGAGAATTTTTTCAATTCAGAACCTAGTTAAAACAAAGTGTAGAAATAAACTGGCGCTAGGCACATGTGCCGCATTAATACAAACAAAGGACTTAATTAGATGCAATGAAAGTTCTTGTTTTGATTTGAAAGTGGAGACTTTACTCGGCTACCGTCTTCAAAATAAAAACCTTAATGAAAATGAATTAATTGACTAAGTTCTATACCGAAAAAAATATGCACCAGCTTTTTTTATTGAAATCAAGAAATATTTTGAGGTCGCTCAAAGCGCTCAAAGTTTTACACGTATATTATATTGGGAAAAACAATTTTTCGTAGCGATGATAGAAAATACATATATATTTTTAGATCAGTAACCTCTGTTTCCGTTCAGGAGACTTCAAAAAATAATACCGAATTATTAATTTAATATTTTTTTAATATTAACTATTATTTATAGATTCCACCATAGGGGACCCATAAAGAATCGTTAATATTAAAAAATATATAAACAATCCGGAGTATTTTTTGACGTCTCCTGAAGAGAAACAGAGGTTACAGATCTAAAAATATATATATATTTGCTATCATTGCTACGAAAAATTGTTGCTTCCCTAATATAATATATGTGAAGAACTCTGAGCGCTTTAAGCTACCTCAAAATATTTTTTGATTTCAATATAAAAAGCAGGTGCATATTTTTTCGGTATAGAACTATCCTTGGGGTGAGAGTATTAAAATTCCGACTCTAAATTTTTTTGGACCATCCTAAGGTACATATATAAAACGCATAGCGTAAAATAACGTATTTTATCTAAGTTATTTAATTTTATGTTTACAAAACTATGCAATACAAAGTACAAAAATGGAATAGTACAAATAACTGTGTATATATACGCGTTAACACTTGCAATGTGTTTTTTTTTCAATAAAGGCTGTATATACATACATATGTACATATAAAAGTGTCTTCTTTTTTTAGGTACATTTGTCCGCTTTTTAGTACAATCTTCTTGTCATATTAGGTACAATTTGGAAAATTAATTTTCCATCCCTGATATGTACATTTATAAAAGAGCCTATTTTTAATTGGTTAATTAAATACTGGATGGGTGGTTAATTAGCGTCCACAATGCTGAGAGCACGCTTTTCTCTAATTGGTTGTGAAAAGCTCGCCATCCATTCAATAAATGCGACACACAGGTGTATATGAATTTATGTATATATATATCTATATAACAGATTGTATATGCACGTATGGAGCATTTCCATGTAAATATAGCTAGACACAGGTATATGATATGCAAACATACATATATATATATATACATACATGCACACATACACACATGTGCACATAAATGGATGCACAAATGCTTGGATCAATGTAAATATTTATATTAAACAAACCTACGTTCTCCATACATGCTACTATATACGTACATACATATGTACTGTATGTTCGTCAATATGCTTATAGTGCGCTGAGAAAGAACGACCGTGAAGCAGGCGACACACAACACATCAGTGGTACCAGAAAAAATATCCAAATAGGCCTAGAATGTCCAGAAAAATGGCTAAATAAAGAATTTCAGAGCTTAGAAAAGAGGTTAGTTTCATTACTCATCGATTGAAAATTTGTTTAATCTATTTCAGAACGAATTTCCAAAATTGTATTTGCTTAGGTACATAGGCAAATACAGTTTTCATTCTAAACAAACATTCTGAGCTTAAAACTCGTCAAATAAAACATAAAAATAGATACATTACGAGTTCATTAATTACACTAGTTTACACGAAAAAAAGACTTCGCTAAAAAGTGTCGCTATGCTTGAATATAAGTCTAATTTATTTTCTCAAAGAAGCGTTTCCGAGACATACGCGAAAACCTGTTTTCTAGGTATTTTTCAGATATTGCCAAAAAAACTCCAGAATAGTACTTTTTGCGTTTCAGGCGTTAAAATTCAAAGAGAACGAAATTTTCAAGCTTTTCCGAAAATTTTTAATTTTTATTCCTTCCTTTCAGTTAGTTAGGATGAAGGGCAAATCTATAACAAAAATGTTAAGCATAACAACAACCAAATCGGACAGAAAATGTTTAACTTTAGAGACATTTAATAAAAGCGGCCAATATAAATTTCTGCTACAATTGCTATTTCAGTCGAAAATGTGTTTTCCGCATAAACAGCAGAAATGTTTAAATTTAATCTTTAAAATTAAGTTAAGATTTTTGGAGCCTCAAAGGGCTGTTTCAAATTTAAAAAGGCCAAAAAAGAGCTAGGGGCTAAAAGCCAATTTCTGGGGCAATATTAAATAAAAAGTTAAATTTAGCCCCAAAAGCATCAAAACGGCAACACTGCAACAAATTAATCTCCTCAAATTGCATCGAGTGGAGTCGGCCGAGTTGAGTGGAATCGAAATGAGCTAACTTTGAGCATGGTTTCAATGGGCACCGTCTGGAGAGAGGCGCCCTCATAGCGAGGTGTGAATGGCTGGATGTGCGAGGGTTAAATAACACAACACAATACGGTACCAATGCAAATGCACGTATTCGTGTGCCGCATACCGTTGAGGTTTTCGGAGCGTAAGTGCTCGCCGTTGTCTCTCTCGCTTAAAATTGAGCTAAAACAAAGAAATGCCCAAACAATATAAGAACCACTGCGTACTGCGTTACTGAAGAAATGTAAGATAAAGCATAGTAAACGATAACTAATTAAATACAATTACTGGATTGGCTAAATATGTTGTGTTGTGTATATTGGTAGACAGCCTCCACGCATTTACTATGTATATGACAAACAACTAAATATGCTTGTGTGCCTCTAGTTATACCCCATGAACCAACGACTACAGATCACGCAATCAGCCATCGTTGTATTTGTAATCGAATTTCAGAAAAAAGTCTTAGTAGCGTTTTTGTTTGTTTTTCGTTTTGTTTACATCGTCTTCCATCGCTTCGGGGTGGCTTTTTTTTAGCAACTTGATGTGTTTTATGACCGATTTTAATTTTAATTTTGATTTATTACAAATTTATTATATAAAATGAAGTGCTTTGTGATTGGAAAAAGTTTGTGCGTTTGCTTGGTCTGCCAAAAAGCCTAAATTTGCGTGAAAAGTGGGTGCACATTTGTGGTGAAAACGTTGGCATTGAAAAATGCACCCTTGCCGATAATATGCGATTTTAAAACACACTTAATCTTGAAAACCATATTTTATGAAGGCTTTTTGCTTGTTGTCATCAAGTTTCACTTATAATATTTTATAATAAATACCAATATAATCGTCAGATGTCAAAACGCTCAGAAATGTACTTTTTCATTATTTTCCGATTGCGTGATCTAGTAGTTGGTTCATGGTTATACACTGTGGGAAAACTTTCACTGGGACTCCGCTTACTTTCGATGGGCGAGGACCTTTGCGGTCCCATTAAGCAAATGAGCCTACAACACGTGCATGTTAAGACATACATTTGTACATACATTTCTAAAATATTAGAATATGTACAAGTAATCTCCTGCAATATAAATATCAACCCGAATTGTTGGAATGGGTACCCAGATTTTCGGCGACGTACCTAGGGTAACCGAACGGACTGCGGGTCCCTCGATCCATGACCCGTCTTCTTTAATAGGAATTTTCCGTGACTTCCATATTTCGCAATTTCAAAACTACATATTTTCAATTTCAGCTGAAATCGCGATGCGATTCTCTATTTGTCATCCTTACTGCAGTCATGCATTTTATAGTAGTAGTAAATGAACTAATTCGTTACTGCTTTTACTCCGTTTTCCATACTATCTAAATGTAAGTATGTATTTGAATATATATAATATTTAATAATACATAATACATAATATTTACTTGCCTCTATATACTTATGTACATACATATGTACTGGCCTTCAGAACCCGGGTCCACACGGGTTGCTTTTAAATTAGAGTTTGTAAATAAATGAAAGTCGTAAAACAAGTTAATTTCGTATAGGACTTAAAATTATATTTTAAATTGATTGAAACATACGTATAAATATCGCAAATATCATTGAGTTCTATGTTAAAATATCCAGCCGACCCATGTCTGTGCAGCTAAACTTTTTTAAAATTAAAAAAGTTGCATTTAAATTTTTCATCGAAACCCGTGATATGTATCATTTCTTCAAGTTTTGTGGACAAAAATTAGATATAAAAATCTTACCAATAACACAAATTATTTAAAAAATCTCGCAGAAACTTAATAATAAAGTGGAGTATTTAATATGGTGGCAGGTAACAAAATCAAGGGAAATAACGTCAATTGACATAGTGATTCGAAATAAAATCAATTGAATATGCCATTTCGAAAAGGGCACATGTCTGAGTAATAAAACTCTTCAGGAAGTAAAAACAAAACTAAAGAAGTATAATATTGCAAAAAAAGTGGCACTTCGGGGCCAAGTATCAATCAAAAGTTGAAGAAATGTTTACTGTTAATGCTATTATATATATATAGTATATGTATGTATGTGTACATAGATATTTTAAATTTGAGATGTACCCTTTTCGAAATTTACGTTATTGATTTCACATAATTTAAAGAAAAAATCATATTCGTTTGTCGATTTTAGGTACAGTTTATTTTGCTTAGCTGCACATCCTTCTTTGCACGAAAAACTTGTTCACGTAACCGAAAAAGGCACTTAAGCGAATTTTCTTTACTACTTCAATGAGGAAGGTATCCGAATCCCTATGAAACCAAATATTGGCGGAGCACTTACCATGTAGAAATTACTGCAAGCGAAATTTTTACCGAATGTTATCTAATTATCTATATAACTACATAAGTTGATAGCCATTTTCGTTGTTCTGCGAGATGAGCAAAATAAATAAAAGGTTGTAAAATTAGGTCATGTAGGGCCAGTGCAGGTAAACGTAATACTTTCATTGATAATTGATACTAGTCGCACAATTTTTAAGGCAGGTATCGCCAATGTGCAGGTATGTTGAATGCATCTATCGGAGCAGTTTCCTTATAAATGTTAAAAATAATGCTTTTGATGCGCATTTTGGGGTAGGTATCTTAAATGTGCACTTAAGCATAGAGGCAGCAAAGCAAAATATACTGTATCTAAAATTAAACCTATTAAAAGATAATTGGCAGATTTTTCTAAAAATCTTCTTCGGAAGGCTCTTTTTCATTTGTAGTTGCCCATTGTAGTATTTCGTCATAAAACCCTGCAAATTCTGCTGGAATAAAAGCATGAAATATTTGC